CGGCCTCTCCATTTGGTTGCTAATCTCAGTCATTTTGTCATGCTTCCCATGTTCCTCTGCAGACAACTTGAGATAGTTGATTCATATCATTCTTGTATTGGAATTTTTTCAATGCACTTTTTTCCTTTAGATTCCCGCCATTTTAGACCACGTGTCTTTCCCTTGAGAATTACTTCGTTGTTTCTCAGTAACGCTTGAGGAATATTACAAACATTTAGATATGGATGAAGGTTAAACAAAGAATCTTATTGTCAAGAGAAAGACGTGGTCTGGATTGGAAAACATTACACTACTTTAATTCTCGTAAACACAGTGCAATATGACCGACATAATAGCGCCACGTACCAACATTTTGAAACAATTCAAATTAAAAACAAAATCTAAAAGTCGATACATTAGAGAATACATTAGAGGATAAGATTTTCTAACGAGCAATAAAAAATATTTGCATGCCCTACTCAAGCTTTCAATGCACTTCATTTGGTTTTATTCCTTGTATTGTTTGAACAATTGAGTTCCGTTTGTTTTGGGCTTAACTTTGATATTCAGCTGTCAAGTAGTAAAGAGACAGGTTCACCTTCCCGCTAAAACATTTATATTCAAAAGAATCTTTAATTTAACTAACAGCACCTATGGGCCAAAACCTTACAACGACTGTTCGGTATAAATATATTCTAACGTATTTTTCGTCGCAACTAAAACTTAATTTAATTTTGTTTTGAAAATTTTTTTCAAATCTTTTAAAACTCGGCTACACACTATAAGGGAAACCATGCTGTCTCGTTAGCTGAACTAAAGAGCTATTTTTAGGGACCTTCATTTAACTTAATTCAGGTTGCATGCGTTAGCATTTTATTTTTTTCCTGCTGGCAGAGACTCCTTTTCGAAAGAAAGAGAAAATGAGACTCTGCCAGCAGGAGATTCATTAATTTCTAAGAGAGGAAAATTTGACAAAACTTAAGGAACAGGATGCATTATTTTTCAAATTAGCGCTGAAGCACATAAGAGACTCCTATTGCGTTCTCATTATTATTTCAATAAAGTATTTTTTGATTACAGAAAAGAAAAATGTCCCATGTTTTAGTCGTTGGTATAGATTGAACTTAGTTTTTCAAAGCTTTAAAACATCGTTGGCATATAGTTCTTTTTCCTGTAGCCATTGATGCCTCATCTGTATCTCTTATTGATTGTTGGCGTTTTCCTTTTAAACAAAAACTAAAGCTCGTGAAAATTCCGTCGTAACTTAACAGTTTTAATTTGATTGTAGCTCGGAATGTCACGAATTAGAAGTCCAACTATTTTTTTCCGAATGCGCATATAGAACCGTTCCCAGCTGCCATTGCGCAATAGAGGAAACGATGGCCGAGGTAAGAGCATAACTTTTGTCGCTTCCTTGGTAATACACTTAAAATAGCATAAAAATTCGTATTACCGATTCAAAATGTCATTTCAAAGTAATTATAGTCTTTCTTTAGCCTTACAAAGCTATTTATATGGATATTTGACAAAATGGACCTCTTTCATGCACCATAGTAGTCAGTTAGTCACTTAGTCTGAATTTTTTCATTTCAATCCATTTTAACCTATTGTTCAGATATTACTATCATGTAATATATTGTCAAGGGTAAGTACTTCTGTCCATTCAAGATCTATGACCTCTCTAGCGCACAATTTGTCCAATTTGTTTGCTTAGTTATTCTGAAAGAAAAGTTGTGCGTTTTCGTCTTTTGTTACTTTGACCGCTTGGCCCATGACGTCATGATGGGCCAGAAGCGATGACAATTTATTCGCCCCAAAGAAACAAAGAGCTCATAAAACCGTTAAAAGACTTCATTTACTCTCTTTATCTATACCTTTCTTTGAAAACGAACTCTTCTTATCCAAGTAATGCTATTTTTATCGGAAGGATAATAATAATTTGATTCAGTTTTTGTTTAGAAGTCTCTTTGTCAGAAAATTTAATACGGAATTTTGTTTATCTTCAATGTTTACCTTAACGAGAAAGGAGCCTATAAAATTTCAGTTAGCAAAGTTGGATTCCGTAAGGATTTGTCTGTGTAAACGTTGAGGATTCAAATGGATTCGTAGAACAACCATCTGAAGACTGCCATCAGAGACTATACGCTAATGTGTTGGAAATCCTACGTCCATTAGCGCCATATTTTAAGATTATTGTTCGATAATATTGGAAATAGAAGCGACGGGAAACGATATCTAAAAGTAACCAAAGAAAGCAATCGTGTTGTAAGTCACGAGTGTGGTAAACATTATTGACTGTGGATTTAACATTCAAGGAGTTACAACCGCCCAAAGAAGACCTGTTGTGGCAAATCATAGCCAAACTACTGCCGAAATACTACACTTGATATGTTGTTATGGCCTTCGAATAAGGTTAAACCCAAAGCAAAGACCATATTCGCACTGTTTCAGACCTGCCTTCCGTCTTTTGCTCGTTAATTCGACGAGGAACTGCATCGTTTTTAACCCCCAAACTCATGGACTTGGTTGCTTCGTTCATGGTACATTCTGAAGAGGTTTAATTTACACTACCACAGTATCCGGTGGAGAGTCTACTATATCATGCTATTTGGAGTAGCGTAGTTTGTTTGTAGGTTTGTTTATATACCAGCAAGACTCAAACAACTTATGCTTCAATCTTGGCATTTTGGCACTAGCTTGGTCCTTTGATACTTGTTTTCTTGGAGGCTCATTTTGGACCTAAATTAGAGCCGAGATGGGCCCAAAATGAAACGCCATGTTATTTATAACAAATCTTTGAACAGTTCACCTCCGAAAGGAAATGTTTTTGGAATCAATAGCTGGGTAAGTCTGGAAAAAATCCCTATTTTAATCTAATTAGAAGTGAAAGAAATACAGCCATGACCGCCTTGGCTTCTGTCAACGTAGTAAAGATTGTCTTTCCTGGCGTAACCGCGACAGGTAGTTTCCAAGAGCAACGCAAAAAGCCCGTTAAAAATAAGAATTTTAAACCATTTTTCGTCATTTATATCTTCAAAAAATCATCATATTTAGTTTATGTAATCTTTAATATAGTTTATTCTTTTAAGAATGTGACTAAAAAAATTTTTCAATTTAAAAGAATGCACTACAAAGCTTATTTCTTTATGAAGACGAGTAATTTAGCCGAACAAAAGCTGTCATTAACTACTTATTCTCATGGCACAATCACTTGTCTATCCCCTTCGAGTTCTCCATAAGTATAATGTAAGAGCTTCACGTCGTACAGTTTGTTTTGAGCATTTGGAATATTAAGCCAATTTCGTACCTCGGCAAAACCATTTGTGTGTCAACAAGAATCGTTGTCAAACAAAAAGCCATTCACTTGTCGTTTCAATTCAAAAAATAACTCGTTTTCTAAGCGGAAAAGAATGTTAAGAAATAGTGACTTGGGTGCTTATACCGCGGGTTCTTTTCTTGCATCACATTAGTTTATCATTAAACTGTTTCGAATATCCGTTAAGAGGACTTAAAATACTGTCAATATTATCACATTCTCTAACAACTTGATTATTTTTCAATTATTTTGATGGCTCCCCTGTTTTGACGCAATAGTGGATGACCCCTTTCCCACTCCATTATCGCATACGTTTTAGAGCCTGTAATGTTTTTTTTTGAAACCTTATAATACCTCTCCGTATAACGTCTTATAAAAATTTTTGTTTTCTCTTTTGACGTGATCATTTAATGATCCAGGAATACAGCTCTAAATGACTTATAGATAACGTTATCATTGACCTTCAGTTGTGGTTTAATAAGGATTAACTAGTGCGTTCTATTATATAGCACCACGAAACAGCTCACATTAGTCAAACTATAAATCAATTATCACATTCTTTAGATCGCAGAACGATACGTTGATAAGTTTTGGGATTTTTCTACACTCGTCCTACTTTTGCATGGAACACTATTTTTTGGGGTAAAATCTCGTTGTAAACATAATATCTTGCTATTGGGATTTCTTTTTCATTCGTATTTTCTGTTTTGTTTGTTATTTGGATTTTTTATTTTGTTATTATTATCATCCTTTTAAAGTTGTCTTTATTCCTTTTTGTTTGGTGGCGCGCGCGTCCAAAAGCCCGCCAAAAATCACACCATTTCAGTCCTCTAGAGTCTATGTGGGAGTTCTTAGAGTAGCCTTTTTACCCTAACCTCATGTAACTCTGTTCAACTCCCCCGCTTAAACGATGATGGCTAGTGAAAGGGGTTGTGAATGTCGAACCATTAAGGTCTAAACTCGTGCAGAGAAATGGAAGTATCGCAGTATGTGACCGACGTTAGAATTCGTTTTTTCTTTTCTCGCCGAAATTAATAAAAATACCTGGCAGCCTTAAAAAATTGGTGGTAGTTGACTAATAGGTCAGGTGGAAGTTGACTGACATAAATTGATTTAACTTAGCGTTGGTCGACTAGTGTTCTGGAAATTTCCTAATTCATATCATTGTTTCATGGTTTCTATACTCAGCGGCAGGTTATCCAGCTGTACTGAGTGAAACAAGTGTACATCAAGCAAAGATATCGCATTTCTTTCCTCAGACGAGCGGCTTTCTCAGTTGGATCATACTTCAGGGGGAACCCCCCGCCTTTGTTAATTTAGTATGGCTTAATCTAGTGATGAAACGTTTTGTGAGCATTACTCGAATAATGTAGTATCTTACTTTGAACTTTCATAACAAAAACCTTTTTGATGTACTATGTGTTTATCCGTATGTAAACTCTGAGATTTAAGACTTAAAATTCATACTTCTATTCGTTTTCTTTAGTGAGTAACATATTTGTATCGATAACTATTGGGCATTCTTATTCCCAGAGCTCCTCGGCACTTCCCTATAGGAACTCTGGGTACGAAAATGACTGTTAGGTATTTGTTGGGATTTTTCCGAACACAGCGCAGTACCATTTGGGGTCGATGATTAAATGAGTTTGTGGTATATTACTCTCACCTTATTTGTAATCATTTTTGTTTGTTATTTTTCTCTCAGGCCCACTACAGGCAAGGTGTTGCTTTACAGTGCCTTGGACGCCATGCTGAGGCACTCGCTGCTTTCTCCACTGCGCTTGCGCACGACGACAAGAGCCCTCAACTTCTTAATACCCTCTTGGATGCGGCAATGAAGTCACCCCTAAAAGGTATGAGTACTTTAGTGAATAATGCGGTGTGCACCAGATTAGCGCTGCTCCCTGTCCTGCATAATAGGCCTATGGTGCATGGGCCTTTTTCCATGGCAGCCATGTTGGATGATGGAAAAGTAGATTTTAAGCGACAGCCTCGTAGGCGAGCGGCCAGAAGCAATTAACCTGGTGCATAAACTAAGGTTCTTATTTTCTCATCTTTAGGCCCTTGCTTAACGAGGAAACATGTTTCCAGAAACACGTTTCCCTAAATGTTTCCTAAGGTGGCAAAACTGTCAGGGAACATGGGGAAACAATGTTTCCATGCGTCTTGGAAACATGAAATGTTTCTGCCGCACAGCAAAAACATTTTTTGCGTCTTGGAAGCAAAATTTGTTGCGCGCGGTAAACATGTTTCTGGAAACATATTTCCTCGTTTAGCCAGGGCCTTAAAGGAATAAACATGGTGATTGCGTGAAAATAGGTGTTTGGCGAAATGAAATCCCTTGAGAATTTTAAACTGAAGTTGAATGACAAATATCATTGCAAATGTAGACATTTCAAATGCTTTATCCCTTGTACTAGTCGTCTAAAAAGGCATACAGGGCTCGTCCTGTGGCTTGTTTTAGTAAATGGTCCTAAAAAATATTTACTCAGGCAGTCACTGCTGAGTTGCAGCCTTTCAATTTTGAGTCCATCCGACGTGGCGCGAAAAAAAGCATTATATGACCCCTAAATATACTTCATCATTCACACCCCTTAACTAATTGTGTATGAAACAAGCTAAGAAAGAGTTTCGCAGCACTTTGAACGGTTGTTATATCGTTGTAAAGCTTGCTGCCAAACATAAGTTATGCAAGCGGGGTAAATGGTTAAGGATGCGATGTCATGCAAACAAGGAAAATGGGTCAGTGCAATGCAAAAGGTGTACCTCTCAATTCCATGTCAAGATGCGATATCTGTAATCTATTTTATCTGTTTTACTCAACAGAAACACTAAAACCAATATGCGAACACTTAAAGACCATGAAATTAGATCGAAGCCCATTCGTAATCATCTCTGTGATTGGGCAAGAGCTACTATCAATTGGTCATATTGCTGTTGCTGTTGGATGCCTGGAAGCCGCTCTCAAGATCGATGCATGTGGTCTCAGGCTACGAGGATCTGTGATCTCAGCTCTTAGTACTGCCTACTGGAAACTAGGTAACATCATTAAGGCTGAAGAGTACATGAAGCAAGACCTTGAGACTTCGCTGTCACTTGGCGATAAGGCAGGAGAGTGTAGAGCGCACGGAAACCTCGGAGGAGCTTACTATGCTCAGAGGAACTTCGAAAAAGCTTTAGAACATCATCGAAAACAACTCGATATCGCCATGAAACTCAAGGACCGAAAATCAGCGGCTTTGGCGTTAAGCTCTTTAGGACACATTTATGTAGCTGATTGCGACTACAGTGACGCTCTAAACAGTCATAAGAAAGCATCAGTCATGTATAAAGAACTGGAAGACCGTTTATCAGAGGCGCGCGAGTTAGGTAACGTTGGAGCGGTGCATTTATTGCTGGGACAGTACGAGGAAGCAATTAGATGCCATCAGGAACATCTAGACATCGCCATTGAACTGCAAGATAGGACAGAAGAAGGAAAGGCATACAGTGATCTGGGCAGCGCGTATCATTATAAAAGAGACTTTGACAAAGCGATACACTTTCATAAGCTTGTTCTAGATATCGCGAAGGAGACCGAGGACTTCTCGATGGAAGCACGAGCATATGCAGGTCTAGGACACGCCTTCAGGTGTAAGGGGGACGTGGATCAGTGTCGTGCATACCACGAAAAACAGCTCGAAGTTTCAGTTCGGTCAAAAGACCGCGCAACAGAAGGTCGAGCGCTCTCCAATTTAGGAATCATTTTTCAACATCAAGAACAGTATCAACAAGCATTGAAGCTCCACAAAGCTCATTTAGCGATATGTAAAGAATTAGATGATAGAGCGGGGCAGGGTCGTGCGTACGGAAACATGGGGTGCGCGTACAGCGCTCTGGGTCGTTACGACCAAGCGATCAAATTCCATAAACAAGAACTTCTCATTTCCAGAGAGGTCAACGATCGTGCGTCAGAGGCCTGTACACATGGTAATCTAGCAGTAGCTTACCAAGCAACTGGAGCTCTTGATAAAGCTTTGAAACACTACCAACGGCATCTAACAGTATCAATTGAGCTCAAAGACAGGAATAACGAAAGTATTGCTGTAAGTAACTTGGGAAACTTCTTCAGTTCGTGTGGTGAATTCGAGAATGCTCTCCCCTTTTATGAGAAATTTTTATCGATTACGAAACACTTGCGGGACAAAACTGGTGAATGCAAGGCATGCCAGAATCTTGGGTTTGCACACTATTCTCTTGGGAATTATTCAGAAGCAATCTCGTTTTATGAGAGGAACATAGCTTTAGCGTCGGATCTTGATGATCGGACTAGTCTTGCGAGAGCGTATTGTAACATTGGGCTCGCGCACAGCGCCCTTGGAAATTACGACAGAGCTATGGAATTCCAACAGAAATTTTTAAAAGTTTCGAATGAGACAAACGACGCGCTTGGAGTTATCAAAGCGCATGGCAACATTGGGGATATTTGTATGGTTTTGGGTGACGCAGAGGAAGGAATAGAGAATTACAAAGAGCAGTTGAGGCTAGCGGAATCAATGGACGATGTGAACTTACTTGGAGACGCATATGGGAAACTCGGTAGTTCGTACAGAACGGTAAAGGAAGCAGGCTTAGCTCTTGACTGTCATCAGCGTGAGCTTAACGCCAGACAACAAGCGAACGATATGTTAGGGATATACAGAGCATTTGGGAATTTGGGGTCGAACTATTTGCTGATGCAACAATATGAGGACGCCTATAAATGTTTCTTTGAACAGCTTCATATCGCGAATCAACTGGGTAACGGTGAACTAGAGTTAAAGGTGTTTGGCAATTTAGGATTTTGTAGGAGCAATTCAGGAGATTATAAGGAAGCTTTAGGATTCTTTGAGCGTCAAATTGCTTCTTTAGAACATATGCCCGAAGCGTACTTAGATATTGGGCGCGTCCATGGTAACTTGGGCGAATGCTATCACAAGCTAGGTAACTACGCGATGGCTGTTCAGAATTTCGAAAAGTACTTAATGGCCGCGCAGCAAGCCGAGAGTGGGGCTGACCAGGACAAAGCGTACCGTGGGCTCGGCAACGCGCACAGAGCTATGGGAGATTTACAACAAGCTTTGGTTTGCTTCGAGGAGAGGTTAGTCATCGCGCACGACTTGACAGACGTTAGCTCCAAAGGCGCTGCGTATGGGGAATTAGGCAACCTTCACAAGACGCTTGGCAATTACGAAAAGGCCATAATGTGCTTTGAGCATCAACTTGCATTAGCTAGAGAGTCTGGTGACGTAGGGAGCGAGGGAGAGGCGTTATCAGGGCTTGGCCAAGTCAACCAGAAGATGGGTGAGTACGAGAAAGCACTGAAATACCATGAAAAGGAAGTTCAAATAGCCGACCAGTTGAATGAAACCAAGAGGAGGGCCTTGGCTTATCATCACCTAGGGACGACCTACGAGGTCTTGGGAAGCCACAAGCAAGCTGTCACCTATCAGGAACAATACCTCAAATTAGCTGCGCAAATGGGGGACCAAGTTGCGAAGTGTCAGGCGTATATAAGCCTCGGAAGGACTCATCATGCTATTAGAAGTTATTCTAAGGCTATCTCCTTCCTGCAACAGGGTCTGACCATTGCCGAGTCTCTCAGACGGTACGAGGAGGAGGCTCGAATACGTCATAGACTTGGCTTGTCGTTAATGGCCAATAAACAGCTAGACGCCGCGCATGATCAGTTGAAGCTTGCTGCAGAGATTTTGGAGGATATCCGTAGGGATGTGGTCAGCAATGGTGAATTCAAAATTTCGTTGTACGAATTACAAGCCGCGTGTTATCAGGTACTTCAACGAGTTCTTGTCACCATGGGTCGACATGTCGAAGCACTTGCTGTAGCAGAACGCGCCAGAACCAGAGGATTTGTAGATCTGCTCCTAGAACGACAAGTAGGGACCAACTCTCGTACGGATGTTCTAAATCCTTTGGAAAACGCATTTAAAACGGAGGAACATATTATGGACTTCGTAAGAAGTCAAAAAGCAAGCATTCTATACTACTCAATCGCCGCTGGACATCTATACAGCTGGCTCTTAAACCCAAAAGAAGGACTTGTGAAGTTTTGTGACAACATCGTGGCTGATGGGGATACTGATGATACTCTACTTGATTTAGAGCAAAGTATAAATGGAGATTACTCTCATACAGCGACATTGCTGGACTCTTTTATCACACATGTACGCGACGCCTTGGGCGTTGAACCGCATTTGAACCTCCAAAGATCCTCAAGCACGACTGAGAATGACTTTGAGGAGACCTGGGACCAAGAGAACATCCTTGAGCTATCGTCCATACGGTCATACCTGTCAACAGACGAAGACGATGATGCCATGAGCATAACCTCGATTCCAGGAAGACCGGGCTCGTTCTCAACTCCCCGAAGCAAATACAGGAACATCAAGGGTAGCCTAGGGAAGTTGAATGGTGTTCGGTCTGGCGGGAAGAAACATGGACGTTCCAGTAAACCACCGTTACGTGCTTTGTACGATCTGTTGATTTCTTCCATGGAAGAATCTTTCCCCCCAGAATCGACGTTTGAGAACGATGGCTCAGAACTGGTACTGGTCATCCAGGGTGATCTCTATCTTGTACCATTCGCTGTCCTGCGCGGAAGCCTATCCAAGGAACCTTTATTCCGTCGTTTTAGACTGAGCGTTGTTCCCTCCCTTCAAGCCTTGCGCTCCAGTAACGAGGCAGCAAACAAACACAGCAGCATAAAAATCGATCCCTCGTCGGTATTGATCGTCGGTAATCCGAATGTCCCTGCGACGTTCGGGCAGTGGGCGTCCAATCCGAACGCCGAGCACGAAGCGAAGATCGTAGCTGAATTGTTCAAGACTTCGCCTCTTCTCGGAGCCGAAGCAACGAAAAACGAAGTCATTGACAAACTCCCGAAATCTCAATGCATTCACTTTGCAACTCATGTGTCTTGGAAACTTGCTGCTGTAATTCTCTCACCAAGTTCATCAGGGAAGAAGCTCGGCTCGTCTCCTTCCAGTCCTAACAGCGAAGGGCTAGAACTGCTCGAAGAGAGTGACGATGCTCCTCCTCTTTCGGACTTTCTGTTAACAGCAGCTGACATATTAAATCTAAAGCTATCAACAAAGCTTGTTGTTGTCGGCGCAGCTTATAGCCACTCGTCCAAGAACCGCATAACTTCAGATGGGTTGATTGGTCTTACACGGGCGTTTCTAGCCGCAGGGGTGCAAAGTCTTCTTGTGGCGTTATGGCCCGTGCCGGATTTAGCCTGTAAACTTCTACTGAAAGCATTCTACGGTGCTCTACTCAGAGGGATGAAAGCCAGTCATGCTTTAAGTCAAGCTATGCACGTCGTTCAGAAGACTAAGCAGTTTTCTCATCCTTCGAACTGGGCCGGCTTTGTTCTAATTGGAGGTGATTCTACCTTGACAAACAAGGAAGTCAAGATGAGTGATGCCTTTGCTCTTCTCCTCAACAACCCCAAGTACTACAGAGAAGCCATGAAAGTACTCGTACATTTGGTAAGATTGATGGGAAAAATTATGGGAAAAATACCTATAGAGGAATACCCGTTAGGAAACATATCTCTTGATTACTTTGTATCTAGTGGTTGAAGACTGAAGTCCCCTCCCTTCTGTCCAAGACTGTAGGAAGGAAAGATGTGCAATATTCGTTTTGACATGAAACCCCACCTGAAATTTCTACATCCACCTTTGCAATGGGGGGTGGGTGGGTTAGGTTGGGTTGGGTGCGTTGCGTGATGTTGTGTTGTGTTGTGTCGTGTCGTGTCGTGTTGTGTTGTGTTGTGTTGTGTTG